GACAACGATGATGGATTCACAGCTGTTTCCGCGAACTGACGGTGCCTTCGTTGGACAGCCTAACCATAGAGGGAACTCTAATACTAGTAGCTAATCGATGCACCCCTCGAAACATAGGAAAATCCACGAACCCCTCATTTAATCTGTCAAACTTTCATAGCGAATCAAAACAAACATAGTGTAGTGCTAGAATTTTGACTAGAATGTGGTACGTTAATCGATTTGCTTAGGACCAATAGGCTAGTCAAGTAGTCAGCCAATTTAAAATCGTTAGTTTCCACCGGTTGGCCTAACTATGTTGTTTGTGTAAGGCCACTATTTATCTTGCCTTGCCTTGAGTCACATTGTTGTACTCACCACAACGCAACACGTCATCCGCATATACGCGTTGCTGCCACAGCGATGACAGCTGTCAACGTAGATGATCAGGTTCTCGCGTCGCTTTTCAAAAGGTTCTAAGTAACAAATCGAGTTAAGCGATAGAAACTATTGCTCTTCTATAATTGTATGTGATGCAAAAATATCCATTCAAATTTCCTTTTATTTATTTGAGATAATCATAGGTCAAAAATTGTCCAATGCACAGTTTGAAATGATGGGTACATGATTGTTACTTTGGTCATTCGGACTGCCTAACATCATTGGTGCTCATTTTTCAAAGGCGGGGCTAATCTAAAGTTATATACTCTACTCTGAAATCTCTGAAAGGGAAACTAGTATCATGTAGAACAAAACGTCCAATATAACACTCATTGATTATGTCATTGAGAAAAATCGTCCAATGTAGTAATAGTATTAGTAAAATTACGTTTATTTTTGTTAATTATGATTTTACATTGTTTTAACATTTTAAAATTATGAGCCTATCAGGCTCTTCATCTTTGTTTCAATTGTTATTCTAATTTACGTATTAACGTTTTTCTAGTAGTCCACAGAATACCCCTTGGGGGGTTTGTTCTATTTGAATTGAAAAAAAGGTGATAAGAACTACGAGTATAACTTAGCCTAACGTGCTAGATCACGTATGATCTGATAAGTTGATCTCAGACAGGTGTCTCTGAAACTTTCCAGGATTAAAACTCTCCCTTCTTCTAATGTCTGAATTCCAGCCAGGTGGTGGATCTCAGAATTTCTAGCTCGAGGGGGGCTGTTTACCGACTTAGAAAAATTCATGTAAATTTAGGTGCTTTGAGAGTGACATATACGAGCGTCAATTTTGACATAAATTTGAGTCATAACAGACGTGAAATATAGCTCAATGAAAAGTACTTTTTGTCGAGCAACGAACTTTTCAGTCTCGTAGCACTTAATATTACATGACATGTTTGTTTACATTTAATATTTTATGTCAAAGATGGATTCCGTCACGTGTAAAATTAGTTATTTCTAAGTGTGTAGGATCATCCTGAGGATCTTGTTCTGGATCCTTTGGAGTTTAAGGTGATGGCATTTGGTGTAACTCTCCCAGATTGGCATACCGTACTCGATTACGGGAAGGATAATTTGTTTGTAGACATCAAGCTTATTTTTCAGGGACAGGGTAGACCTCCTGTTGATGAGTGGATACAGGGATCTTTTCGTTTGATCAACGTGCTCCCTGAACATCAGCTTGCTGTCTAGTGTTAATCCAAGGTAGGCTACCTCTTTCGACCATTCCACCGCTGTGCCGTTCAGGCAGATCTTATTATTCTTCGACGGAACAAGTCTGGGAGATTTAGAGTGTGGAAAAATGATGACCTAGGTCTTTGCCGCGTTGTTACGGATCTTCCAGCTGTTGAAATATTCAGACAGGACGTCCAGGCCTCTCTGAAGTTTGGCAGTCAGAGCTCCGATGACCCTACCCATGTAGACGATGGATGTGTCATCTGCAAACAGAGACAACGATCCACCATCAGGGCGAGCCGGCATATCGGAGGTGAAAGGTTGAATAGAATGGGGCCAAGGATGCTTCCTTGTGGAACCCCGGCACCGATGTTGAAATCATCCGATGTGATGGCATTCAGAGAGACTCGGAACGTCCTGTTCGATAGGTAGTTGTTTATTATCTTCACTATGAAGATTGGAAGACCGTACTGCTGCAATTTGTACACCAGACCATCATGCCAGACATTGTCGAATGCTTTTTCAACGTCCAACAACGCCATGGCAGATGTTTTCGAAACAGACTTGTTCCGTCTGAGAATGTTTGTTACTCGAGTCAGCTGGTGGACGGTCGAACGACCTTTCCGAAAACCAAACTGTTCCTCGAGTAACAAGTTGTTTTCTTCGGCACATGTTAGGAGCCGGTGATAGTTTGCTCTTTCGAACAGTTTTGATAACACTGAGAGAAGGCTGATTGGTCGATAACTTTAAGGAGACGACGGATCCTTCCCAAGTTTCCGGATGGGTATGACTTTAGCTGACTTCCAACACGAGGGAAGTAGCCAAGTCGGAGGCACAGATTAAAAATAAGTGCCAGATGGTTGTAGAAGGTGGAGCTTAAGTGTCTGAGCTCCAGATTCAGGATGTTGTCGAAACCTGGGGCCTACATGTTTTTAGATGATTTGATATAGGCCAACAGTTCGTCACCCGTAATCTTGGATTCCACGGGAAAAATATTAGGAATCTGCCTGCCTGAAACCTCAGCTTCGTGAGGGCTGACGATGTTTTGTACAAGATTATGGGAGCTGACGAAGTGTTGACCTATCGCGGCAGCCTTCTCTTCAGGAGTTATCAGATGAACCACTGGGCCGCCAGGAGTATCGAGTGGGGTCAGTGGTGGAATGGGTCTTGGCTTAATCGTCCAATGTAACATGTTCGATGTACAACTTTACTTGTTAAAACGTCCTATGTGTTTTTTTTTCTATATTGTAGCATGAAATGCAAAATAAAATTGTGATTTCACCGTTTCTACTGAATTGCCAACCTTATTATTCACTGCCTACAGTTGCAAAATGTATTGTTTCTAAACAGTTAAAATAATAATCTGTTGACCTTCAACTTAGATTTTCTCTAAACGGCGGATATGTTACATTGGTCTATTTGAAAAGTGACGCGAGAGTTCTGTTACTCTGTTATGTTATCAGGAGAACAGTTACTGTCAACGAAAGGAGGAGGAAAAAGGGAACGTAGAGAACGGGGGTAGCTCGAGAGGAAGGTTCTTCGTTTAGGAGATGGGCGAAGGTGAGTTCTAGGAAAAGTGCCAATTTCACGGAACCGTGCGGTTTCTAGTTCGATACCTTGGCGAGAAGATGGAAGACGGAGTGACTTTGTCGGTCGTCTAGTTCTTCAGTGTAAAAGAGATGTAACAATCTCATCACTCGATGGAGAAATTTAACGGCTCCTCTGCGAAGAAGATAGAACTTTCTCAGGAAGGACCTCCAACAAATCGGCGTCATCGGCATCGGAAGCAGGATCAATGGATTGGAGTGGTCGAAGGGACGTCAAGGTGTGTGTAAAATTAATATGAAGTTTGTAGGACAAGGAAAGAGTAGGAAAGGCACTTTATTTTCCATTTGCTTGGTAGCTCGTCTCCAACAGCTTGTTAGATGCTGCTGTCGAAAACCGTTTGCGTGCCACTGTACGCTTTACTCATCCGGATTGATGTCCATCTCCCAGATCACAGTGTACCAGCAATGCACTTCTCAGCTCCTCTTCTGTTGTGATATCGCCCAGATCTCTGTACTCAACCACTGCCTCCTGGGATAGAGCTCGTACATCCGCCTTCTTGTCAAGAGACTTTTCGACGAGCTATTTAAAGGCCGAGCTCTTGATCGAAGAGTTCGTCTTCAGCTCAAATAGTATCTCGCCTTTCGGGATACGTCTGGTTAGATGTTACATAATGTTACAGTTGCTATACATCAATAGAGACGGATGGTTGTCTACAAACTACGAAAAAGTCATGTAAATTTCCGTGCCTTGAGACCGACACATGCAAGCGGCCCAAATGACTTAAGAATTAGTTGAAAGAAACGAGAAAATCAATTCAATCAAGCGTACTTTTCGTCGAGTTGCGTATGCTTCGGCTTAGGAACACTTAATTTTACGTGACATGTTTGTTTACGTTCCATAATTTACGTCAAAGATGGATTACGACTCGTGTTAAAATAGTTAATTCTAAGTGTGTAGCCACATTGAAGTATTGAGCGAAAACCCAAAACTTGCCAAAATGCCCCTATTTTAGGCCCATACATAAATTCAGCAATCGACTAAATTTTCAATATCGACCAAAAATATCCATTAGTAACGTCCCAATGACGCGTTCATCTAGATAAAATTGATAAATAGCAGATTTTTAACGATGGGCCCAATTTTAGATCCATAGGCCAAATTTAGAGCCTTTTCCCCTATATAAAAAATATATGTTGAGTAAAAAAAGTCTCAATTTTAAAGGAAAAATATAAAAACATATTGTGCCCTCTGTCTACAAACCATTATAACCATAAAAATAAATACAATCAATGTTTATGAATACAACATCCCATTTTTTTCGATTTTATTCAGTATTTTTAATAACCTTTCATTTAACATTTTGATCTTTGGTTCAAAAGTTATAAATTTTTGAAAAAAATCATTTTTGGAAAAAAAAAAAAACATATTTTTTGGATCACCTTAACATGGAAATGGTCACCCTAATGACAACATAAAAAATATGGGTCTAATATTTTGCGATAAGGAGCAAAACTACATTTTTTTTTGAAAATCTAAGAACCACTAAATCGTTTTGCTATGGAATGGCTGACATTGTATATTTTGGTCATGCACATTTCTATTTGACTTCAACTCAATTTTACCCACAGTGCCAACGACTAGCACATGCTTCTCTCACCGCACCGGTGGGTTTCTGTTAACTCGTCGCTTCTTCACACCATCATCGATCCGTTGTAGATACCCCCCGACTTGGAACACTTACTTTCGTGGCGAGGAGCGGTGTGACTTTTTTTTTTCGTGCGGTATTGTTCGTTTTTGGGAGACAATCTTACTTTCGATGGCTGTGGCATCGAAAACGACTGAGGTAAAACACGTGGATAAGGTTTTGGTCAGTCGGTAGAGCCGTTTAGTTCAACTTCATTAGCTGCCCGAGCCGTGTGTGCGCATCGAATGGCATCGTGTGGGGAGCTGGTGGCGATTCTGTCGGTCCTGGTGGTTGGCATCCACTGGTTGGCGATACTTCCGGTGACTTCCGGGGGGCAGTTTCAAGCGGTTGGGGCGAAGTGGTCCAGTCGTTTCGGATTGGGAGCTCGAGAAAATGTAAATATGTTTGAATTAGTAACGAGGTGTTAATTGGTGGTTACGGGTCGAGTGTGGTACGATGGTGATGATTGATGGGTGAAATTGTATTTTTCTTTATTTTATAAACCGTTTGGCCACATTGAAGGAGGTAGCTGTGAGCGAAGGCAATCATTCGGATACAGGAGAACAGGAAAACGAAGACTTGAAGGCACCTACATCGAATTTAGGCTGGTTGACGTGGTTGACGAATGTATTTCGATTGCCAATTGTTAGTGTCTTTGCATATCGTGCAGAACCGACTAGCTGTCCGTTATGTGGTGAGTAGCGTTGTAACGGTAATTTAACCGATTGATTTTTCGCATTTCGATGAGCAATATGTTTATGTTTATGACTGCTTGTTTGCATCAATTGCCAGCCAGAATGCCTAGCCTACGAAATTCAAGCTGTAATGGCAATGTGGTAATCAATTTTCATGATTGTTCTTCTATTAGAAAGGTGTGAATCGCCTTAGACCTGATTGAAATCAATTAGGTTTACCGTGTAGCAACAATGACGTAGGGGCCTCATAGCCTAGTCAGTAAAGGCACGGTATTATCAAGCCGAAGGCGGCGGGTTCGATTCCCGGTCCGGTCGAGGGAATCTTTCGGGTTGGAAATTTTCTCGACTTCCCTGGGCATAGAGTGTCATTGTGCTTGCCACACAATATACAAATTCATGCGTTGGTAATTGGCATCGAAAGCTCTCAATTAATAACTGTGGAAGTGCATTTAGAACACTAAGTTGAGAGCACGCAATAAGCTAATATGCGCTAAGCAAATAAGCTTGAAATGCGAATAAGAAGAAGAAGAACAATGACGTATACACCAAAAGAAAAATTGATCAAGGAAACAACGTTGTTCAGGTATCCTATTTTCATTCAACTAAGCTGTCAATTTATTTCGGAAAAGTGAATATACGTGTTATTTTTATCATTATTGGGAAGTACAACGAAATACGATGGATATTTTACTTTAGAATTTCTCCTAAAGCCCACAGAGGCACTGCATAACAAATTTATTCCGTGATCTCTTGCAGATTTCTGTGTAAATTAACATTATTGGCATGTTAGTTGGTGTGGTTTTGGATGGTTCATATGGGGTTCTCATATGCTTCCTAGTATTGCTGTAGCTGAAGCTCCATGCTCCTGGATATATTCTCAAGCTCTGGTAGCTCTACAAACTACTAAATATTGAGTCGAGCAAGGGACTTCAGTGGAATAGCTCTATCTAAACGAGTCGTTAGATTGACTCCTTAGATGTTGGCAGCCCCCTTCAACAATCTAGAATGCAAGTTCAGAATTACTAAGATAGCAAAAACCAGCAAGCACAACTGAGTCGTGATGCTTTTTTCCCCTTTGTTCGGGACATAAAACCACTGCGACCAGTAATATGATCTAGTATAGTATATACCATGTCCTTAGTTAAGTTCATGTCGTATTACTCCATCACAGTTGTCATTCTTGCCTTCATAACAAGGAATCGATTCTTATTGAAAGGTCCCGCTCTTTATACCCTTCCAAGAGTGAGAACACCCTCCAAAGGCGCGCCCCTTTCTCAGTCAAATTGATATCTTTTGCAACAAAATTAAGCAATGACTCCAATAATGACATGCATCAGAACCCTAGTCTTAACCACTTTAAACTAGGGAACAACGAATAGAATATTAGGAATCACATAGATGAATGCAAACTAACTCGTGTTTTCCTTGTTTTAAGATCACTTCGATAGACAACAAGGCATAAAAATCAACAAGGACTAAGATGTGATCCTTTGATTACTGAAAAATTCTGTTCCCTCAGCATGCTTGGTATACACATTTGTACACACCAACTGCTCATTTGTTAATAACTTTTCACTCAGTTGTTGAAATTTGTTTTTCTTTAAGGTAATTGATAGATTAGGAAGCTTACTATAAATATGCAAAAAGTAGATAAATCTTAACATTTGAATCAACACCAATGAATTTTCACTCTTATAGTCCAAGATGTGTAGCGAGCATTTCTCACTTCATTTTCACAACGCAAAAACAAATACAGTTTATTACTAGAATTAAAATCTACTTTGTTTTATGTATCTATAACAAGCTTAAACTCTATTCTATCTACTGCTTCAAAAAGAACTATGTTTTGTCAACTCTGTGTCAAGTTATTTGCAAATGAGCAGTTCGTGACCAAAACTGTGTATGCCAAGCATGTCCCTCAGTTTGTAGTAGTCAGGACTAGGAATCGGTGGTAGATCTTACATTCCGTAACGTACCACGAAACGGTGATCTACCCACGTTATGGACTAGTCGAGAGGCTTAGGGGCTTCCACAATGCGACAGACCGGGCGTTCTGGTTTGGCTGGAAAATTAGATATGGACTTGAAAGTGATAACAGGTTGCATACCAATCACGTGTTTTGTGATGAACTGAAGTAGTTTTTTTGCCCGTTGGTCGAAGCCTCGAATTCCCGTTTGACCAAGAAACTGGAACTACGTTCATAGTGACTATGTGACTACTATTAGGTTTCAAAAAGAAAGCTCTAAGCTTATGTGGGCATATTATAAGTTGAGTTAGGGAAGCGTTGGGTGAAATCTTCCATTTTTATAATTAAGAAGTGAAAATATCTAAACTTTTCTGCAGTCTGCTGCAAATAAAACGAAAACTTTTTCCTTCAGCGGAAATGCTTGTGTCATCAATGAACAAAGATTTGTGGCAACCCTGGGTAAATCAGAGAGGTCCGAAGCAAAAATGTTATACAATATAGGTCTAATAATACTACCTCGAGGAACTCCCAATCTAACAGGTAGTCGATCAGATTTGGAATTAACCTGTAGAGTTCTTTAAGTTAAATATTTTTTGAATTAATTAAAATAAATTTTGAATTAATTTCATAATACAGAGTAGAAACTTAAACTTTTTCAAACTAGCAATCAATCCTTTATGCCAAATACTATCGAACACTATCGAAAGTTTTTTCTATATTCAGAAGAGCAACTCCAGTTGAGCAGCCTTCAGATTTGTTTGAACGAATCAAACTTGTAACTCTTAAGAGTTGATAAGAATGAGAATGAGCCTATGGCGAGATCCAAACTGCTCATCTGCAAAAATAGAGTTCGTATTGATGTGAAGCATCATTCTATTTAACATTATCTTTTCAAAAAGTTTACTTATTGAAGAAAGCAAACTTATTGGACGGTAGCTAGAAGCTTCAGTTGGATTTTTATCCGGCTTCAAAATTGGAACAACTTTTGTATTTTTCCATTTATCAGAATGGAAACATTATTAAAATAATTTTACAAAGAATAACAATAGACAATTTCATCATCGCCTGGAGCTTTCATATTATAAACTTAGATCTTATTTCGTCCAAATCAGTCCCCCAGGAATCATCAAAAATATTTTCCCGAGAGAAAATATTCAGATAATTCCGAGCAACTTGATTCTTAATAGGACTTGTAAGACCAAAATGAAATTATGGGAATTCTCGAATTGCTTAGCACGTTTCTGAGCTTTTTGTTTGGAGCTCGGATCTCAGGGCACATTATTCCTCAGGGCAGAGCATCACTTTTTAATTTGCTTTTGCAAATCTCGCTTGATAGTTTTCATGGCAGTATCACGTGTTCTTTGATACTGCCACCTACGGACATTTTTCAGGCGGATCAAGAGCTGAAGATCGTCGTCTATTATAATTGAATCGAATGTAACCTCACATTTTGATACTGAGGCAGCTCTCGCTTTAACTATAGAAGTAGTCAGAGGTTCGAGAGCATAATAAATTTCATCTTTGGTTTGCAAAGGAATATTTGGATCAAAGTTATATTCCATAAATGTTCGATATTACTACCAATCAGCTCTATGGTAATTGAAAGTAGAGCAGTTGGGATTAGAAATTAGGATTTATCAAAACTGGAAGGTGATCAAAACCGAAGTCAGCATGGGTAACCAGTTGGCTATAAAGTTGACTTGAGTTAATTAAGAATCAATGGTTGAGGTTTTCTTGCTGAAGAAAAACACGTTGGGCAGTTTGGATATTCCATAGGCAGAACAACCATCAAACAGAAAATTTTCATTGGAATTGATTTGAGCATGATTTCATGAGCGGTGTTTTGCATTGTAATCACCAATAATGAAGAATTTAGACCTATGACGGGTAAGTTTCTGAAGGTCACCCTTGAGAAAATTCGTTTATTTGCCTACGCATCGGAATGAAAAATAAAACGTAGGTAAGTTGTTCTAATTTTGATTCGACAGAACGCCTAAACAAATACTCAAATGAAGAAAGAATTTGATGTTTGATTCGTCTATGAACAATGATGGCAACACCACCACTGGCTCCACTAAGACGATCATTTCCTTACACGCTACAGTTTACTCACCGGGTGAGTCGATCGTACTCACTTTCGTCCGATGTATCGAGTTGTCAAAAGCTCAGTAAACAAGAAATGTCAGACTGAGTAAAATCCACTCAGTCAGCAAAATCCTGGACTTAGAAAAAATGTCAACCATGTTGGAGGAAACGTCCTAGAAAACGGGTGAATGTTTCACTCAAAACGGGCGAAAATTCCTTCAGGTAAGTAGAAATTGCCATTGTTGAACCATTTTCTGCTCCGGTAGAATGAGTCCGGAGCAGATAATTTTCATTTCCTTAAGTAAAATCAAAACAAAAACCCCCCCGCAACTGAAAATATCGCTGAGTGGATTTGAATCAGTCCACGTGAGAACGTCGTTTACTCAATAGTGAGTCAACATAAGGCTACTCAATTTTGAGTAGCCCTACTTGCCGCTGAGATGAGTACATTCGACTCAATTTTGAGTTGACCAGAATAAGCGTGTATGGTCAGATTTAGGCCGTTCGCAATGCTGTTATATTTTATATGGACTGTGTCAATTTGAATCTACGTAGAACAGAAAGGCACCCCTCGCAATGCTAAGTTGCAGTTTCATTATTCGAGTACTAATTTGCACTACATTTGCAGCTGCTCGAATATTCTGTTTTATTTATGAGCGGGTTAGAAACACGAATGGAATTCTGTTTCAAATTTCTATGGATGTGTGGAGCTTCTAATCTGACAGATGGCAGACGGCCTGGGAGGAAACGAGGTGACGAAACGAAATCTCATTCTGTTTTTGCTCGGAGCCGACAAATTTATCGAGCAAATTTGCTTTACATCATAGAAATTTCTCAGGAAAACAGATGACTCATAATTTTCCCTAAGGTCTTCAGATGATTAGAGATCTACAAAAACTTCCCTTGTTTTTCTTTCAATACTTCTGGTTCATCATGGTTGCTCAGAAA